TATCAGGCCATCATTGATATACACACACACACACACACACACACACACACACACACACACACACAGCCCACAGTGGACCTGAATGAACCCTGTGGATCGTATTGAAGGATTTTTGCCCTGGAGTTTACACACACAGACACTTATGCACCTTCTTGCCTCCACACCTTTGCTTATGCCAGTTGTTTCCTCTTCCTAGAAGCCTCTTCTATTCTCTTTTCTGCCTTTTAAATTCAGATTTATGCTGATGGCACCCAAAGAATGACTCTTCCCACTACCTCTGCTGCCTCCTCCTGCCTTGCCAGGGAGAGCAGGAGGGCTGTCTCGAAGCACAGAAGCCCATGACCAGTGTATTAAAGGTCCACCGCACACAAGCTCTGCCAGCCCCTCATTCTGCAGAACGTGACAGACAACTCCTGACAACTCCTCTCCTGCAGCTTCCCCCTGAGGGCCCCTTTGATTGCTGGGCCTCTGACATTGGGTGTCCCTGGGATAAGAAATTTCCCTCTAGAAGAGCTCCTACCCAAACCGTTTTCTAGCCTGCTTCTGGCTCTGCGACCTCATCATCCTCTATCTTACACTGTCTCTTGGGAATTGACCTTACAGCCCAGCAGGCTTGTGAACTCATTTTCTAAGATGTGGACATAAATGGGCACAGAATACTACTTACTGTAGGGACTTCCACAGCTGCTTTTGATGGCAGATGGAGAGGAGACATTCAGCTCTTCCGAAGTGGTTACCGTGGACCCCATGCTTTACAGATACCAGCTTTTTAAAGCCCACCTGGAACACTCATGTAACCAAAGCTAGGTTAATTGGCTTGTTGCAGCAAGGGGGAGCACATACCAGGGGAATCGTGGAACGTCTCAGAGGGCAGGAGTTAAGAAAAGTTACTTATTGAGACTGCGGAGCTGGGGTTTACCACAGAATGGCCTGGGCAGGATTGGTCAGAATCTGTGAAGTAGGGCATTGCTGGAGCACCTAGGAGCTCTTTTTAGAACACAAATCATACAGATTATACACCTGTGTTCATAGCAGCATCAGTCACAGTGGCCAAACGGTAGAAGCAACCCAAATGTCCATTGTCACATGACTGGATAAACAAAATGTGCTATATACATACAATGGAATATTATTCAGCCTTAAAAAGGAAAAATGTTCTGGGCCGGCCGAGTGGCGCGATGGTTAAGAACTGGCTTGGGATGTTAGAGGGCCCCGGTTCGGATCCCACATATGAGGGCCAGTGACATTGCCCTCCACAGCTAAGATGCTGAACAACGGCTCAACCTGGAGCTGGGCTGCCATTGAGTCACCGGCGACAGCGTAGGCTGCAGCCCCTGTGGCCATGGGCTACCGTGT